TGCTCCAATGGTACTTAAGTTAAAATTTGTTCTTTTCCTTCATAACATTACTGCATCACATTTTACAGCAGCCTCTTAATGAGCTTAGGAAGGTAACATAATTGTTTATCATCCCAACATATAAGGTAATTATATTTTATAAGAATTCCAGTGCATGTGTGTATAAAGCTGAAAACCACCTAAATGAACAATGTAATTTTTGTTGCTTTCTGGCAGGTTTACTCATGTACTATAAAACTGGGAGAAAATGAGAGACAGGTGAGGTGGTACAGTTAGTACCTTTGCTTAGCTGCATGTAAACCCATAGCCTTTGCAGGGTAAGCTAAACTGTAAAGGTTAAGCAACTTTTCATGTTCACATAGCAAGGAGCAGCAAGATGAGGAATGGTCTGGCCTCCTGTTCCAAACACTGCACCTTGGGCATCCTCCACTCTGATGCTGTAATTACATTATGACTAAAGTGCCATCTGAATAATTTTACCAATGAAATTTCCCAGGGAAAGCACTCTTACCACATGTAAAAGGTAGGACTGTCTTAAATCTCTTTAATCACACCACATTTCTGCAGTAAAAGAAAATGTGCTGATGATAGTCTGGAATTATTCTTGCTTTGTGTTATCCATAAAGACTCCAAGTTTGGTACTGGTTTGGTTTGAGAACACCTGATACAGGACAGGAATGTCAGTTTCCACAGGAAAATCAAGGGCCAACCATAGCTAATCCTAACACATGAATAATTGCATAAAGCCTGTTTAGGTGTTTTTATATTAGTGTGGATCTCAAGGAACTGCTGCTTACTCAGATCTCAGTTCTCAGAGACTTTATTTTAAAAAGTATGTTGTTCAGGAAGTTGCAGAGGGACATGTTTTTAACTCCTCAGTGGCTTTTCAAAAGAGATATGTAAACAAAAATCAATTTTCTAATACACAAATATATATATGTAATATACATATTTTTATATATGGAGCTGCAGCATATGCTGGAAAAACAGTTAAAAATATTATTTTCGGTGAAAACCCATCAAAATTTGTTTAGGTACTCTGAGATTATTTTTTGATGATCATAGCTGTATGGTAATTTCTGTTAGTCTTTTACCAGATTGTACATACCACGTCTTCTTTGTCAGGCACACATGCAAATCCCCACCTTTTTAATAAGAATTTCCTCCTCCAATTTTAAATTTCTTTTCAGCACAGTATTCTCAGTTTCCTGTCATTACTGTGCTGGTAAAAAGCTGTTCCACATCATTCTAGCAGTTCGATTTCAGCAGGAAACACTGAAATTTCTGTATTGTAAATGTACAGTACAGTTTGTTCCTGTTGTGCATGTTCTTCTGGTTTTGGTAAATTTTCATCAAGAATTACATCATTAATCTTAACGCTTAAGGATTTTGTTTTAATTTGGTATTTCAACTATTCTTTTTTTGAACTTTCCTAAGATTACAGATGTTGTAAAAACAAGTTGCTATCTTTTTATTGTTTATAAAATATTTTTTCACGCCTTCTTGAAGGCTTTTATAATCTAACGTGCCATAATGATGTTCCCTACTCTTGTTTGAGTCTAGCAGGTGACAGAAGCAACATTTACAAAAGAAGAAAAAGGAAAATCAGTGAAACAAATGCCTAAGTTGAGTGAAAGGTAGTAATACTGGAATTAGCTCTTATTACCAGACAGAAAGAGATAGTATTTGTGGTTTGGTGAGTTAGCTATTTTTGATGTTGTTTTTCTACATAAGCTACTGATATAATTGCTAAAGAAAAAACAGTGAAAATATCAGAACATCCTGTGAGCACAGATAGAGCTTACATTGTGTATACATTTTTGAGATATTAAACATTTATTTTTAGCAAGTGTCATCAATTTCTCAGAGATGAATCAATTCTTTTTATATGCTCATTGAGGCACACAGAATGCACAGCTCTTAGCCTGTTAACAAATGCCAGCTATTTTGAGAAGCACACTTTCTGTTCTGTTAGGGAAACTTCTTGTTCTTGTACATAAGGCCACTGTATCTCCAGTCTGTTTCTCCCCAATGTTTCTGTGGCTTTGCTAGGCAGATGTGTTACCTGCATGAAAAATATGAGCCATAAAATAACTTACCTTCCTTCTGAAGTCCTTAGTTTTCACAATTTGAATGTAGTTGGACTTCAGCAATTCATTATCAGAAGGTTGTTTATATAGCAGTTTGTTACAGACTCTCCCAGGCAGCTGTTTTTTCTTATTGTTTCCATTAACATAGTGCTCTGGGAAAAGAAAAAAGGAAAGAAAAGGAGTGTCCTGTACTTTCATACACAAACCCCACCTTCTCCTTCGACTTCCTTCCACAGGAAGCACATAGGCATCTATGCAGTTATTTGCATAATTAATAGACAAGATCAAACTGTTTCTACCCTACACTGATGAGCCAAACACTGAAAAGCAGTTGAGGGCAAACAGGTTAATTCACTGATCTCTTGGGTGTATCTGCTAAAACAGAGGTTTCACAAGGTTTGGGAGGCAGAGGCTGAAACCAGCTGTACTGGGTCTGCATGGCCTGGGTTTTGGTAGCAAATATACTACCAAATAGTATATTTGGGGGGTGGGGGGGGCTATAGGGGCGGCTTCTGTGAGAAGCTGCTAGAAGCTTCCTCCATGTCTGGCAAAACCAATCCCTGGTGGCTCCAAAGATGGAGATGATGCTGGCCAAGGCTGGGCCAATTAGAAATGGTGGTAATGCCTCTGTGATAGCAGATTTAAGAATAAAGAAAAAGTTGTGCAGTTGTAATTGTGGCCAGAGAACAGCAAGGTGAGAATATGTGAGAGGAACAGCAGACATCAAGAGGCAGTCAAGGAGAGGCAGGAGGCATTCCAGGAGCAGGAACTGAGATTCCTCTGCAGCCTGTGGAGAAGACCATGGTGAGGCAGCTGTGACTCTGCAGCCCATGGAGGGCCATAGGGATGCAGCATTCCACCTGCAGGAGCTCCATGCCAGAGTAGGGGGATGCCTGAGAGGAGGCTGTGGTCTTGTGGGAGGCTCAGCAACCACTGAAGCCATCAGTGTGTTACCAACATTCTTCTTATGCTCCATCCAAAACACAGCACTGCACCAGCTACCAAGGAGAACATGAACTGTATCCCAGCCTCGCCAGGATCAACTTCCTGTCCTGCATTCATGTGATGCTGTCCTAATATACAAATAACTGCCTTTAAAGCCTAGACACACATTATGAAAAAATGGTTCTACAAATCTGGCAAAAAAGTAAAAAATTTGCTACAAGTTTGATGAGAAAAACATTCATAATAGAACAGAAAACAGTAGTTTTGAAATGTTCTACTTCAGCATTAAACAACCCTTTTAAAAAACAAAGCATTTTTCACTCACACATTGGAGTAACACATTTTGTTAACATTTGATCTTTACATCCATAATTTTTTGTCTGTTCACAAATCCAGAAAGTTTGCTTGCAATATAGTTTCCTAATTTCTGAAACAATTGCTACTAAAACTTGTTAATAATTGCAAAATTAATGATCTGCTTCAGCAAAATTTCTTTTCCTTTTGTGCCCAAGCACACCAGTAAGAGGAGAAGGAAATGACTTCAGTACAAATTTAAGTTGACATGTAATATCAAATTGCTAAATTCTTCAAGGATGACAGGGTGCAGCAAGTCATCAGGCTACCACTTAAAGAGACTAATGTTTTCAAAAGGTTGAAATAGAGTTTAAAATGTAATTTTAAAAGCAGAAATGTCTCTTCCTCTGCAAGAGCCTTTCTGTGTCCTTGGGCAATAATGCTGCAGTGGATTACTAAAGTAAGAAATTCTCACAAGAGTTTATGTTCTCATTAACCTGATCAATTTTGTACAAAACACAGATACGGATCTCAGGTTTTTCTAAAACTGAGCTTACCTTTCCAGCCACAGCAATGACTCGAAGAGTTCCTTCCAGCAGTGAAGAGCACAGTCTATGTTTTACTTCTTTGGCCAAAATGTTATCCTGTTTATATAAATATGTATGCAATATATAGGAAGCACCACAGGTAACAATGTTTCGTATCTTTCTTTTTTTTTCCTGTTTCTTATCCTAGTCTTTTAGGAAGAAACTGGAAGTTTCTAAACAAACACACGTACACTGACAGTGAATAATTCAAACAGTGTATTGTTGTGATGGCCTGCTCCTATCCATACCAAAATAATCTGTTCACAGCTCACATGCTGCCTGCAGGACTCCCAGTGAACTCCATTCCCCAGCTATTTCCTTTGGGCTATGGGACACAGCTCAAGTGTCTTCCACAGCAATGTTGTCATCAACAATCATCTTCCATACACCTTTTTCCTTATATTACTTCTCAAAGTAAAAAAAAAGCAGTGTTTTAAAGACTTAATTGAACATACTCCAGAAGAGGAATACCTTATATCCAAGAATATTAACTCCCCAAAAAAGTGTGCCTTCTTTCTACTCAAATTTAGAATGTATATACTCAAGTCACAAGGCTGATGACCTTCATATCCTAATTATCTTGTTCCATAATAAAATACCACAGAAAAAAGTTTGCCAAAATAAAAATGGGAATATTTATTATCTTTTCTACTAAAGCAATGCAGTTTTTTTGAGATTATACATTGGTCTTGGCAAATGTTTCTACAGCTAAATTCATACTTTTCCATTTTGTAAAAAAATTAGACACATACTTCATAAAAACAAAGACACAGGCTATGTCACCAAATAACTGGAAAGGATTGTAACTGTTAGTAGGGATGAGCAAAGAAAGCTCATGCTTATACTTAAACCTCTGGCATTTGTGTCATTATCAAGTGGGACAAAATGGGGACATTTTCCTTGCACATTTCTGGGTCCACTTCCCAAGCTTTCAGGCAGACTGTTAAATACTGAATATGACCAGGAGAACCTAAACATTGCTCAGCAGTACTACATGCACAAGATGCAGGGGAAGGAAGAGTCAGACCCATGCAAACAGTACAAGACAAACCATTACAACTGGCAAACGTGCACTGGACAAAAATTGAAGTTTATGAAAAGCTTTATTTGTTGTCATGAAAATAGTATCAGAAGCAAGTAACTGTATGTGTTTTGTAAAGTCATCTTCATTTGGCCTCCTGAGCTTTCTTGGCATTCTGTTTTTCTTTCGCCTAGGAAACAAGGGGAGATGATGTCAAGCTTTGGCAAGATGAAGATCATTCTGGAGCTTTGAATGACTACCCATTACATACATTTCTGAATATTAAATATATGCTGGAAAAACAAACATTTAACGTAAATTTGGACCCTTCAGAAGCATCCTACTACTATTTTATTAGGTTAGTGTATGAAGCCTTTTAAGAACAAATACAGGTTTAAATAAATTATGCAAAAGAAACTGAGATTACATAACTTCTGTAGGGGAAAAGCACTATTTTAAAAACATAATTTAAACTTGCATTTTTCATACCTCCATACCAATTTCATTTAACACAAAAAACTCTTCCTAATGGGAACTTTTTATGTCACAAGAAAACACCACATTCAGACATATAAATGATCAAAATTAAAATCTGAAATGAACCAAGATCTTAGTGGTTTAGATGTTTCAAATAAGTGGAAAAAACCCCCATAAAAGTTCCTGTCAAAATATTTGCAGACAGATTCTCATAACTTATATCAACCATAAATAGTTCAAATTGGTAAGGAACTGGCACTTACAAATTTACTTAGACTGGGCAAGAAGAGGGGACAACTCAGAAGCAATACTAGCCAACAACTTACTGTCAAAACATTAATTCTGAATTAATTCAGGCTGCTGCTTGTTACCATTTATTGAAGTGAACAGAACAGCATCTAATTTGGTGATTAGAATTAAGATCTGTTACCACCAACTCACTGGTAATTTACTTGTGAAAGCAGCTTGATGGGTGTTATCAATGACTTCTGTTCACATGAAACTGGATTAAAACTTCACAAGTTACTCTCTTAACAACTATGAGCCTGCAAATGTACTTCCTAAATAAATTCAGCTAAAGAATGTACTCATTAAATAACACACAGCTCTTTTGTCACTACACCAATTCAGAAATCCCTTCTCAGTGAGTATAAAATCAGGGATGCTGCCTCTGGCACTCAAGCATAAGTGCACACCAGCACAGAGCTGAGTACAATTCAAGTACTTGACCAGTTCAATTATCTTGCCAAACCTTGCTTATTTATTAAAGTTTTAATACAAACCTCAGCAGTAAATCCATGTTAATGGCTAGATACCTTAGAAAGGGGAAACCCAAGGCAGTAAATGAGCACAGGAGCAGGGAAAAGAGAGGGACCAAATTCCCAGCGCTGTGCCACGGCTGCCACAGGACTGTGGGGAGCCATCCCTGACAAAGAACTTGGAAAAATAAATGGCAGGGGCTCTTTTATTTAAAAGAGAAGGTGTAAAGAATCATAGTAATATACTACCAGCTAGGAAATACTCACTTTTTCTACTAATGGTATTAACTGCTGGTGCTCTGCTAGAGTCTTTAACAATTCCATGATGAAAGGCAGGTAGTTATGTTTTCTTCTAATATTTTCAATCTAAAAAGAAATTAAACGCATTAACAGAATTATTATACAGCTGAACAGTCTTCTAGCCCCCATCCAGTTCCTTCACATTCATTGCACAGCTCCCATATAAATACAAGCTGACTTGATCTTACAACTGTTCCAATAATTTCATCAGAAAAGCAAAGACTACATACCTTATATCTTTTTAATTTTTGGTTCTCTTCTTCAATTAACATCTGGTATTTTGCAACTTCTGATTGTATAGAACTTAACATATTACTACTTTGATCTGTATCCATAGGCTCCTCCTTCCACAAAACAAAAATTTAAATGGATGATGTTACTCCATTTTTAAATTTTACTTTTTCAAAGCAAGTTTTGTCTCAAGGGTATTTCTATCACAGAAAGATTCAGTTTTGTTTACCATTATAGGTACATACCAGGAATTTCTGCAGTTAGTTACAAGCAGGTACTGGGAAAAAAACATTTCCAGCACCACAGCAAATGAGTCAAGGCAGAAAGTCAAAATGACACGGTCAACACTGGGCTGAGTGCTCAGCTCGGAGCTGCAGCACTGAGTGCATCCACACTGTGCTGGACAGATCTCTAGCAATCATTCCCTGCTTTTTTGTACTGCTCCATTGGGAGCAAGGAAGGGAATAGTAAAGCCATCAGACAGAACTATCAGGGAACTACTTTAGCAATTTAAATTCCATGGCCTACCTCTGCCAGTTGCTGCTGTAGCTCTGCAATCCTCTGCTCATATATCATCTTCCTGTCAGACACAATAGCCATCAGGTTAAACCTTATCTCACCTTCACTGTATCTAAATGAGGAACAGAAAAACAAAACAACAAAGACAACCCACTTTCAAAATTAGTTATTAATATGACAACTCAAAAGCCCCCTCCTTGATTTCATTTCATGGAAACAAAATTTTAAATGGTTCTGTTAAATTAAGTTGTGCTACAGACCCAATCTTGTTACAAAATAAAATCAGACCACAAATGAACTCTATCCAGTACCTAACTCCTTATTACCTTCTCTCCCCAAAATTTACTATTCCTGTCTGTGGTCACAAAACAAATACTGAAACTGTCCAAAAAGAGAAAAGAAAACACAACAACAGAACTTACAGAAGATGCTTCACACAATAGTTTTTACTTTCTCATTACTAATACATGTTAGAAAATATTGGAGACTTCTCCACACAGTCTGAGAAGTACATTCAACAATTAGACTAGCAGGCCTTTTGGAGGTTAAATTTTCCAAAAACAGCTTGGTAGTCCTGTTTTGCTTATCAAAAAAAATAAGTCTTCAAGCAAAAACTTAGAATTGTTTTCTAAAAATGGCATAAAATCAACTTTTTTTCTAACAAATTTGGGACTGCAGTTTGGAAACAGAGTTAAGAAGTAAGAAAGTTCCACAGTATGTTTTCCTACCTTAAATTTCTAAGACAAGCCATTCCTAAGAAAAACTTTAGATTTCTAAACACCAGCTGTATGGACAGAATGACTATCTAATAATTTTAAGTGCATAGGCAAATGTTATTCATGGTCATGACACTCTTAGCTTTCACTCACAAAGATCCACAGCTGTGCAACAGATAACAATCTTCTTTTCCAGAGCACTCGTAGGATCTCTCTTCACTACACAGACACCTACTTGAATTAATTATGCAGCAGCACAGCGTGTTTGAGATTTATCTATCATCACATTTGCCTCATGTTGGGCAACAGGTTCTCAAGTCACACAGTGATATGCATAAAGAAATTATGCATAAGTGTCATTGCTTAGACATTCAGCAGAAATCCTTTAACTGAAGGAAGTTAAGACAATGGAATTTCAAGCATAGTAAGGTGCTATATTTTAAAGGCATCACGACCATTTACTTTTGTATGCGCTTCTCTATGACGGGCCGCACTGCACTTATCCAATCATCCTGATGGCATGCACCTGGGGAGAACACAAACAATATTCATCTTTGCAAAATGTAACAAAGGAATATCATGGCAAAATTTATTTCAAAGTCCGCTCATATAATTCAGGCTTATGCAGCAACTTCAGAGTATATAACAAGTTTTCTTTAGGTACTGCAGTCCGAAATTACTCAGGTGGTTTTTCAGGAGGTGGAAGATGTTTTATTAATAACAACCATTAGATAATGCAGTGACCAAAGCAATGGAACAAAGCTAAATTTGAAGGGCATAAGCACCTAACATTTGTTTTGCTCATAACAAGAAATAATGGGGTGGGGGAAAGTACGTTACATAAGATTTTTATGACACAAGGGAAATTAGTTGGTCTGACAACATTGAAGTAGATAGCAAAGGAAAACACTATGGACAGGTACAGCTGTTTAATATTAACTCTTGATTTTATCTATGTGGATGCAATATAATGTTAAAAAGTCAGGCAGAAAGAAAAACCCTAAAAGGATCTATGACAGAGAACTTGATTTCAAGATACATGACAGGATACCCACAGGTCATTTCCTAAGCTGAAATGCCTCTTTAGCAATTTCAAGACCTTAAAGTAAATTTAGAGACTCATGATCTTGTGACCACACAAATTATGTTACTGTTAGGTCCAAAGACTGTACAGTATCTCTGGACAGTCTAAAGACAAGATTAAGCAGCAAGCTGTTGCTCAGCCTAAACATAAATAAAATTGTCAACAAATCTGGGAAAACACTCTGGGAATGGAGTGTGGAATATGTTGACAACGTATCAGACTCTAAAGTACAGACACACGATAGGCAGTGCAGAGCTTTTCAAGACTCAACGGGGCACACATATCTCAAGAAAGATTACAAAACAGAAGACTGTCTTACACAGAACAAAGCTATTTTCTTTTAAACCATTAGGGAAACATTTGCTAAGAAGAAAAATGGCAGTGTGTAAACACAAGAATATAACAACATAAAAGAAAAAAAGTGTCTAGAGTGAGCTGTATACATTCTCCTTTTATGTAAACTTGTCTTGCAACAAAACTATCAAAGTTTTAGAAGGGATTGCAGGACCTGATCATTTGATTACTAAATGAAAAAAGAGAGCATCAGAGACATGGAGGAAACAGGGAGAAAATTGTATTTTCAGACCAACAAAACTAAAACAGTACAAATGACTGCAAGGAAGTACAAGCCTACAGCACATTCAGAAAACTTTCAAGATATTCTTTATTTGAATAAATAATTTGCTTTGAGCCTATAACATATGACCAATTTATTGCAAAAAGCCATTGTTAAATAAAAGATGTTCAGCAAAAATGTAAAATGTTACCTAAATCAATTGGTCCTTCCCTTAAGCCATCTAGCTCATATAGTCTCCCATTAACAGGAACATAGCTTACAAAGTGAAAGGCATCTTCTTCCTTTGCTGAAGACTTTGCATCAAACTCAAACATCTGTTGTCTGCAAAGAAAATTTTAAAACCCCTGAGATTAAAAAGGATTTGCTCAAATTTTGGCCAGATTTAAAACATATGTTACCTGGCAAAACTGTTGTGAACTTGCCGAATCACTTCTGAGTTGCTCAGTGCCAAACCTTTCATCTGAAAGGAAGTAACAAAACACCTGTAAACCACCACAGCTGTAACACTGTGACATTCAAAATGCAGAAAACTGGTCACTCACTGCAGCATCAAAGCTTTGGGAAAATTCTTTAAATTCTGACAAGGTCTCTCCTAGATGAATGTCTTGATGAGCACAGTTTAACAGCACACTTACTATGGCTTGAGTTGCACAGGCATTATTTATGACCTAGAAAAAAGCATGGAGAATTTGGTCAGCACTGGTGATAAAAGTTCACTCCAAACTGTGTTTGCTTTTGTTACACACACACACATACACTTTCTATGCTGATTCACATTAGAGCTGCACCCTAACACAGACTGGATTTGCTGCCTGGATAGCTACAGGAAAGTCCTTGCTAGGATAAAATCAGCTCTGTGTGGCTGTCATATACAATTCACAGATAAAACTCATCTTTCACAGCTGTCCTCAGAACTGTCATTCCACTGCCTCACCATCTCTCTAAAGTGATTAATGAAAGGCATGGAAGAAAGGCAAAAATCCTTGGATCCCTGTGGAAAAACACACAGTAATATTCAAAGCAAGCTGCCCAAATTGTGTTATCTATGGCCTAGAAAAAAGTCAACTCTCCCAAGAAAAGTCCTTCAAATAATCAGGAGTAAGAGGTCAAAAAATTTAGTTTGAAGCAATAAAACACATTATGGAACTTAAAGTTTTTATTAAAAGGTTTTATTGGACACAAAAATTCAAGTATTCTAGGGATAAACTAGTAAAAGTGTTCCAAGATGTAGATACTGTTCAAATGATGGTTAGCTGAATAATATACTTGTCTAATATAACTATCCTTTTCAAGTTAAAGCTACTAGTTTGATATTTCAGTGTTAAATATTCCACTTTTAGAAAATATAAACAATCCCCTTTGTATTAAAGCCATGTCTTTAATGTTGTTTACTAATAACCAAACTAAAACACTGTATTTAAAGAAAGAAGCTGCAAAGATTATTAAATATAATCTGAGATTTAACTAAATGCACTGTAATCAAATGGTATGAAGCCATAATACAAGACTTTATATTAGCAGGTTTTTTTCTCAGAGAGCTATAGGGTAGGAAAGAGTAATGTATCATTAGTCTTTGAGACTATTTTGCAATTGAAAATGCTACTTAAAACTTCCAGAGAGGATGTGCCTTTCATATAAAAATATGAAAATTAGTTTCTGGGCCATGAATGTGAAACCACTTCCAACAAGAAAGGAAAAAAAAAAAAAAAAAGAAAACCCAAGCAACCTGCTTTACAATCAAGGCTAGTCCTAACAAAGGAAAATCTGGTATGTTAATACTAAAAGGCTCATCATAAATTTATTTTCTATACTTCAGGGTGTTCTCAGTTCAGATTATGTATATATGCAGATGGTAAATAATAAAGCATTTCTTAATTTAAGAAAAATACAATCTAGTTGACTTAAACAGTAATCAAGGGAGTCAACTACACATACAGAAGAGATTGCAGCAGCCAAAACTGAAATTAAACCAACTGCAGGTACACCAGCTAAGGGCTAGAATACACAGATGGAAAATGAATGCATACAAGGAAAATCCATCCAGGGCAGCAAAATAATGAACCAGCAGCAGAAAAATTCAAACCACCAGACCAGCAGGATGGCATACTTTGAATGACACTGTAACACAGGAAAAAGAACTAAGAACTGAAGACTCTGAGATACAACTAAAGAATGTTACCAGAGACAGTGGTAAAGTAGTGCTAGGATGAAAGCAGGGAAATCTCAAGTGGCTCAGAGTGGGTGAAGCTGATGCAGTGTAATTGAGCTGACAGAGAAGCAAGAGAAGGCACTGACACCTGTGCTGATGCACTGTTAGAACAGTGCTGTCACAATGAAGGCAGGGTCACTACAGCAAATTGTATTTGTAAATGATAATTAATACTGGGCATTACAGGAGGGACGGACTAAATGGCAATTAATTTTGCTGAAAAATCAGATGGAACAAGCAGTTGCCATCTTTACAGACAACTCAATAATGGCTTCAAAACAAGGAAAGGGAGAGATTTTGTGCCTAGAAGCAAGATCAACACTGAAACTACTGAAGAGCACGACACAAAAGCTTGAAACAGAACATAGAATCACAGGGAAAATTAGACTTTGCAAAGAATTAGTGGGCTCATCAAATATTTGCCTTCAAACATATTTTGTATTGCAACTACATTATGAAACAAGTCTGATGAAGTATATAGGGACCAAGCTAAACAAAGTCTGACTGCTAGAAAACACAATAAACACTATGCAAAAGATGTGTGGATCTGAGGGCAACAGCCTCCAGCTGTTGAAATGAAAATACATTATAGAAATACATTCTAGCACTTCAGTCAAGTGAGAGGCAGGAGTCCAGGAAAAGGCAGCAACAACAGTCCTGTAGCAGAAGAATAGAAGGAAATGCAGGTGATGTGCATAAAAATCCAGTGTGCTCCTGGATGTAGATGACACAAGAGAACACCAAGATGGAACAAGGGAATCTCTAGCTAGTGGTGGCTCACAGGCAGGGTGAGGAGGGCAGAGTGGTATGATGTGACTGCAGGACCAAATGCAGGCAAGTGTGGGATCTATTTGTCACACAGCCACAGTGCCACCCGTGCACGCAGCCAGTTCAGCACTGCTCCACACACAGCCTAGAGAATCCTCCAGCATACCATCTCTAATTCCCAGTGTATATCTTACTTAGGGTGCCTCAGCATTAGCAGAAAACATTCTTTGCATTTAGGTAACGTGATAATAAATGCAGGTTGTTCCCAAAAGATTTTTATTTGGATGTGAGGATTAAGAGGATTTTCTGTATCTGTCCAGAAATACCAACATTTGCCTGGGTATTGCTATCCAGGAAGTCTTGGCAAGGTATTAGATTGATCAATACACAAGACTCCAATTAAAGCAGACACTCATAGTTGAAAGATTTTGTAGGCAAAAGTTCAAGGTGTATTTTCCAATACTTGAAAAGAAAACTAACAAACATACACAGAAATGTATCAAGAGAAGGTGGACCTATCCTGTAGGCAAAAGTTCAAGGTGTATTTTCCAATACTTGAAAAGAAAACTGTAACAAACATCCACAGAAATGAATCAAGAGAAGGTGGACCTATCCCCAGGTGAAGCTCAGCTTAAACTGAGGAACCACTTGATTAGGCTACTCTCTAAGTAAGATGCATTACTTCCTAAGCATGCACCTTTCTCTAGAGATCAGATCTGACCTTCTGGATCAACTTTAGACAGAAGCACTTTAAATTACTGACTCACATCTTCTACCTGATGGATTATGTATTTTGTTTTTCAAAAAAGTTGTGGACAAGCCTGTGCTGCAATTGGTAGTATAACCAGCAAATCCTTGGAACTTACTTACTGAGCATTCCAACATTACAGAACAGTTGGTTTTACAGAGCTCAACAAGAAAAATTCAGCATTAGCATGAAGGTGCACAATTTATTCTTGTTTAGAAACCCAATATAATTTTTTTGATTAAAACTTTGTTGGAGTAAAGATATAATCTTTCTGCAGCTATACTCAGTTACTGAAAATCTCTTTCTGATTTGTTTCAGGTCTTGAAGTTGTACTTGTAAGTTATCTGTTATCCCAAACTTAGCTTTAACACAGATATCTGGTCTATCTTAATGTTACCAAATCTGAAAAGGTCATGTAAGTTTGAAATCAATTAAGTACTGGAAATGTAAAAAAACCACATATACTTCCATTAGTACCATAAACATAACTAGAGACCAATGGTTTGTTATTGACTATCATTTATAAGACATTCCTTCTGAAGGTATTCCCAATTAACGAAGTTAATGTTCTGTCATGACAATGCAAAATAAAATAAATACAAGGCACCTAGGAAAGGCAGGATACCAATAGTTCCATACTAAAAGCTGAAGAATTTAGTAAACTCAAAAAAAGTAGTTTCAGATCTGCAACAATGGCATTCTTTTTTGTCCAGGGACACTTCTGCAGTGCTCAGCAGGGAATGCAGCTCCTCTAAAGAGTGTGACAGGAGCTGAATACATTGAGCAGCTGTAATCATGTATCCACTGTGGTGAAAACAACAGCAAGGGCCCATTGAAGCAACACAGAAATCAGGAAATTGAGTTAAGGCTGAAACTGTATCCTTAACTCACCTCATGGTGCCTATGTATCCTAGCTCAAAGGGTATGTAAGATCATCCAGAGTTCTCTGGCCTCAACTAGAGGACCAAACCATACCTAGGCATAACAGGGAGGCCAAATTTAACATGAGTGCACATAAAAGTGACCATTAAAAAACACCCCTTTAATATGCATGCATACAAGACAGACTTCAAAATTCAACCCCCCAACAGTCATGATGTAACTTAGAGCAAGATCTAGTTACTATTTGGAATTCAACCACAACATCACTATGGAAGTGGAAATGAGAAAATGGGAGCATGCACAAGCTTCTTACCAAAACTGTGTTTCCTAGTTCAATTTTAAAGATGTTTTACTAGACAGTTTGAGAGCTGTAGCCTTTTACCTCTAAATGAAGTTCCCCACAATGAAACAATTTTTAAGACTGAACACGTAATAGAGTTGAACAGAAACAAAATTTATCTCCTCTACTCAACTCTTGATATATTAACAGTAACCTTGTTGTGCTCACACAGGATTCAGGAAGCCATTTAAAAACATGCCTGCAGTAAAACCAATTGTACCAAATGTCTTTAGATGGGAACATTTAAAAGAAGAAAATGTGTGATAAAAGAAAGAGAGGCAAAGACTTGAGATTTTTCAGGCTCCAGTGTCATGACAGTTTTGAAGATCCTGATCAACAGATCAATAACCTTAAATGTCATAAAAACTGCCCTAACCAATCTATTTGTTCTGGGGTTCCAGCCTACAAATGAATATAGTGTAATTTTACATGATCCCTTTTGTAATGAAGAAAAAAGTCTTCTGGAAAGACCCTCAAAGCAAGCATAAAATTTGGCTTAAAACATACAGAGGAAATCAAAAATACACAGGAACCCAGTTGCACGACGCCTGGGAGGACTTGCTCTTTCACAATACAAATATTCAATACTAATGCTCATCTTGCTTTGTGCTCCTGGGTGACTCAGAAGGATCCAGCCTGTGGTTTAGAGAAGTGCAGTAACTTCAGCACTATCATAAAGAAACCCCTGCTCTCTCACTTACCTGTTACCAGTTTTGTCCTACAGACTTGCTGAACAGACACATCTCAGTACAGCAGAGACCAGCCCAGATACTGTGCACAGGAAGCTGCTGGGGATGAGCTTCACTGGCTCACAGGATTTCACTGCACCCTGCTCCCATCAGCAGCAAATCATAAAATCAGACACTTGCTCAAGAAAACTCTTAAGTCCTCAAAACATTGCTTGTCAAGTTGGATCTCTAACCCAGACTAATTTTCTTCAGTGTGAAAGTCACCAGAGCTAAACTGGTATTAAACAGATTCCTCCAAAATATCCAAAGCAGTTTCTTTCTGTTGACTTTTAATAATTTCTCTGTACCTATTTCTACTTGTTCAGTCACAATAGCTCAGTCTAGGCAAACTGAACTGATATGAAACACAAACATATAAATGCCTTCAAGGAATGTTTTAATTTTGCAAAGCCACCACACTTGACTGACAGATAACAGTAAAAAATGAAAAGATACTACTTCTAAACTTTTTGCAAATGACTTTTGAAACATCTATTTCATGCCATCTAGTGGCCCGTACCAGGCACTACTATTGTACGAGTCAACATTTCTAGAAATTGCTTTCCATGCTAAAATTACAAGAGTCACTCCAGTACTCCTATTTAAAGGCAGCAGGTAGAAGAGAGAGACAATTAAAAAGGAGGTTTCAGCTTAAGAGCACATTAAAATATGAGTGTTTCAAAGTAACACTATAAAATAAACAAGACCTTTCATTGTTAGCCTTGAATTTTGTGGGGCTCATTATCAAATCTAACATTATCCAAATTTTGTGATATACATTCTGCAATCTCATCTTAAAGCTCAAGAAAGTTCCTCTTAGCTATTGCCTTTAAACAGTGTCAAGCTTCAAAAAAGGGAAGGGGGTGGAAAAGGCAAAAGAAGTGGAGCAAGCATTCAAATGCTTTGAAACTTTTCAGCATTCACAAGAACAGCAATTCTAGGACAACCTCAGCTACTCACAGGACTCAAGATGAAATCCCTTGAGTGAGGGAAGATTTACCTTCACTTTAAAATAAAAAACCAGCATCCTCCAAAAAAATCCCTCTCTAGATTCCAATCAGAGTAATTTCCTCCCGCCATGTAACTACCTTTTGAAAGTTACGTCAAGGATTTTCTCTGAGTTCTTTGTCTCATGGCTGTTCTTTAGCTACAGCCCATGGCTACTAACAGTATGTTTGGTTAGGTAGAAATCACAACCTCAACCAGTCTCTATGAGAGCTACCTAACTATAAAGACAATTAGCAAACTGCTACTGATCTCTGCATCATAAAAACAGTGGGCAGTGCTTGGCAGGACTCAAGAGCTACAGCAGGGGAAGAATGAAGAGAAGCAGAATTGAAAAAGCTGATCCACAACGGCATGATTATAAAAGGAACAAAACAGAAGTGCAGGTACAGAGTGGCCAGGATGGCTATTTGCATTATTTTCCACATTTCTCTACTTTTACCTGGAAGTGTGAAGAGATTTTTTCATATCCTGAAATTTACATTCAAAATTTGCATTTGTGGTGGGAATAAGAAAAAACCCAACAAAAAAAAAAGCCGCCCAAACCCCCCAAGAACTAGACCATATAACAGTCTTCACAGAAATCCTAATAATTTGCCCTTTGATGTCAATGTTTTGTAATAAATACCCATATTAAATACTCCTACTTTCACTCTGGTCACTTTGTCTTTCTTTTCTTTCTTGCAAAAGACGCAGCAGTCTGTTAACTCTAAGAAAAATAACAGTACTACTCTATATTTAATAAAACACAATGGACTACATCAGCTAAACCAGTTTTCCAGTGATTTCTAATTTAAATTCACCTTTCTGATTTGAATACTTAAAACTTGCATGCCAAAATGGTCTGCAAACCCTTGAAGGAACGCGCTATCCTACATAATACTGCCCCAGCTCCAGAGCATTTGAGAAAAATAAGAAATAAAAACAGAACCAAAATAGACTTCTTCCAACAAGTTGTTGAAAGTGGTTTCAAAAGAAGTAATTTGCTCATCCTGCTGAGAACATTTACCAAGTCACTTCTGCACAGAAGACTGAGTTACTTTATGGGTGAGGGCTGACAAATAAATACGAGCTTTACTCTTCCATAGCTGCAATTCTTGTCTGACTTGACAGATCAAACTGATTTGCTTTGTCAATACACAGCTCCTACTTTCAGAATTTGTTGAAGCTATTTTACCTTGCAAAACACTGATTTCTGTGTACATATTAAGAAAAAAAATATTTTTTAAAAAAAATTAAAAGCTCTGTTTCATTATACAGCTAAAACAATTACTGGATTTCTCATACCTGCTTAGCGAAAAATATTGTATCCAGTCTGGAATCCTGGACAACAGAACCTGCTGGCTCCTCTCCAGGCTGCCACTTGAAGAGAAAAATCAGCCCATGTACTGGCCTGAAAAACAAAATTTATAGTAAAAAGGTCACAAGTACTGATAAAAAATATTAAAATTCTCTGTACTGTAGTTCAGCTGTATGCTGGGGTATGGTAATTCTGTTAATTCTTTCTAAATACCAGGAACTTACACTGAAATTTTCAGATGTGCTCTTTTAATTACGCAGAAGACAATTTGGGCTTCTTTCTGTGCTAAACAATCCCAATCTGAATTAGCATTTAGCCACTAATTTTCAAAAGTCAGGACCAGTTTTCCTGGTTAGTGCACCTTTTGTAGTTGCAGAACTCTCATTTGAATTGGTTAGTGATAAACAGCTATCAAAGCATTTGTCAGTCATATACAAGAGCAGGAACGAAAGGTTTGGTAATCCTTCTAGACACAAATGAAATGCCCAAAGAGGAGCTCTCCCAAAACTTCATGCTTGGAGTTAGCTCACCAAAAGTAAGAGAAACCCAGTTGTCTCTTCTAGTAAAAGCATGTCTTGCCTTTTGGACTGCATGTCTCGAATAGTAAACAGCTTTTACTACATGTTGCACTGTATTTAGTATTTCCAGAATACAAAAATTTACCAATAAAGGAAATAGGTCTTACAAAATCTTCAGTTATTGTAAGACAAAAACTTATTCATCAACTTAAATCTAAGGTCATCACCAAAAAGAGGCCACAAATGGTTTCTCTATAAAAGACAAACATACACCTGTACTGCACAAAAAACTTTTCTTAAGCTCTGACCAGAAATCTAAGATGCACTTTTTAACATTCTCTCAGTGGACCTGTGTCACAGCACATGCTGCAGTTGAGACAGCCACAGTACACAGAGTATCACCATACAATATCAGAAAGCTTCAACCCACACAGTGACACCAAGTCACTTCAGAAGGCTGCAAGCATCCACCCTTCTTGTCCTTTAGCCCAGCCTTTTATCCCCCCATGCTGATGCAGTGCCCCTGTGTGCCTCTGCTCCCTTTGGTGTTGCTCAGTGCCCCTGGGCACTCCATGGCTCATTGCTGTCAGTGCTGCTCACCTGCTGCTCACAGCTGTGCCACTGGGGATGAGGCTGGGCCAGCCCCACTCACAGTCACCACACACTGTGTGCCTACAGACCTGATGTTTAGAAAACAAACATGCTTCTATGTTCTTTCACTCCCAGTGTTTATACACTGTGTAAAATATTGCAGGTGTAAATGGGAAGGGAGGATGGAAGCTGGCCATCCCTCAGGACTAGAAAGACACACATCTCCCAGGATATGCAAAGCTGTCACTTAATGAACAAACAGGTGAATATTCTGATGGTGCAGACAGCAAATAAACCAATTCATAGGCAACATTTCTGCCATTCAAGTGTTGCTGATCAAATATCTTCAGTCAAAAATTCTAGAAGTACATCCTCTCTACCAATTCCTGCATCTTTTGAAAGACTAATCCTACAAGTATGGGATATTTGCACAAGATACAAGAGTATGGTCCAGGTTAAATGATATTTTCATCTTAAAATCCTGTATGTAAACATGGGTAACAGTATGTTTACATATGGGCATCATGGACAAAACGTTAAAAGAATTAATGTTGCTTAATGAGGGCAAAATTGTTCCGCATGACACCAGTCATTATCAGTTATAAAAAGCCTATTTGCCTTCACATCTATATGGAAAAATGAGTTACAAAGGAATCTAAATACTGGAAAATAATTTAAGACAACAGAGACAACATCATGGGATGTGAGGAGGGAGGGAGATAAAGCAAGGAACAGAAATTCGCCTAAGAATTTGTTAAGAGCTGTAAGGCAAGCTAATGGAAAAATCATTAGAAATCTACTTCCACATTCTAGCTACTATTAGCACTTCTTTCAAAACCTGATTAAACTAGATTAAGTACCAACCCATTAATGAAAATCAATTTAACTGCCAGGTATTCCATTAAATCAAAATCATACTGAACTTCTCTAGAAACTGAAGGAAAAAACACAAACACAAAATGCCCCAAACATAAGGTCCACCAAAACCACACCTGAGTTTAGTACACATTCTTTCAGGGACTTCAGACAAATGTGAATAAAAAACATGTGCCTTACTTCAATTTTTCAAAGTTCTCTGGCTCCAAACTCCATATTTCTTCAACTTGTGCTCCTCTACAGCCTGAAATAAGGAAAAAATAGAGGTTTCTTCAACTAACTCATTTAAAAAGGGATGCAGCCAGCAAAGGCAGACTTATGAAAGAAAACACAAAGACATTATGTAATATTTACAAGTAGAATATGCAGGCTATGGAAAAGTCTATCTGTGGGTTTTAACAGACCTTGATTAAAGAAACCCAAACAAGACAGGCAGAGAAAAATTATTTCAGGCATTTCTGAACCTGTGTACAGTGATACTGTCTTTACAACAGAGTTGCATAAGAAGCAGAGGAGCTTAAATATCTCTGATCACTTCATGTCCCTCACTTAAGTGTGAACAATACTGTTTATAAAGGCATTATCAGCAAGCCCAAAGCAGAACTTTAAACATCTGTCTCCAGACAAAGACCTACGGTAGTAGATCAAAAATGCTGTACACTCAAGCAAGACATGTGCATAGTACACAGCCCAAAAGGTTCAAATATTTAGTATGTGGAAGTTTCATCTGTGAGCTAAATAAAAACGTAAAAGAAGCATGTCTGGACTTTGTTTCTGAGAAAAAGACATGACAAACTATGAATCAGTGAAACACAGAGTAAGATAATTTTGGTTCTTTGGCTGAGAATAACCTGGCTGCTGTAATAACCATATATTCACAGTTTCACCAAAGATTTTAAACGCAATTCAACAGAAAACTTAACATCCTGGAAGGCCAGGCAGCCGCTTGCAGGCTACCCAGCCACTGCCAAGCCCCACAGCTCAGCCTAGGCACACAGCCCTTTCCCCGAACGTCCGAACTACAGGCGCTCTGGAACCCGAACACCTTCCCAGCCTTAAGTCTTAACCTGCGCCAGCGAAGTTCAGATTGGACATTCGGAGGAACTATTTCAAAGGGCTGATGAGACATTACAATGGGCTGCCCAGGGACGTGATGGAGTCACCGCCCCCGGAGGTGTTCAAGGAAAGAATGCACATGGCACTCAGTGCCACGGTCCGGCTGACAAGGCGGTGTTGGGTCATAGGTCGGACTCGGTGATCTGAGAAGCCTTTTCCAACCCAAAGGACGCTGTGACCCCACGCGGCACGTCCGTCCCGCAGCACAGCAACAGGTGCCGGGGCGAGGGCCGGGCCGGGCCGCGCAGGCCGCGCTGGGGCCGGACCCCGCGGTGCCCGCGGCCGGCCAGGGCGGGCCGGGCCAGCGCCGCGGACATCACGGAAGCCACGCTCGCCACCGGCAGCGCGTCCCAGCGCCCTCCCGGCCCCGCAGCAACCGAGCCCCGGCATGCCCTCCCCGCCCGGCAGGACAGCGGGTTCGCACCCGGCGGTGCAGGAACAGCCCCGCGGAGCCCCCACCACCTGCCCGGCCCCGCTCGACCCTCACCGAAGCCCTTGATGAGCTCGGTGAAGACGCCCGGGTCGCTCTCCATGAGGCACCACTCGCCGGCGCTGCTGCCCCCGGACATGGCGGCGCTGCCGCCGCTCAGGCTGCGAGGCCGAGCCGCGCCGCTCCCTTCCCGGCAGGACCCGCGCCAGGCACGGCCATGGAGAGGCGGGGCGGCCGCAGGAAGCGGCGCGCGGGACTGGATCCGGGGCAGCTGCGGGCTCCGGCGGCACCGCCCCGGCCGCGGGAGGGCCGCGCCGGCCTCCCCGGCCCATCGCCCCGCGGCCCCCGGCGCTGCGGCATCGCCCGGGCCCGCCCGGGCCGCGGCCTCGCAGGCAAGTGGCGCTTCCCGGGCTGCAGGGGGAGCGGGATGCGGGGACCCTGGGCCGGCCCCGGGATGCGTGGGGAATGCGGAGAGGCCGGGGGAGCAGCTCCGGAGAGCAGCGGGGCGTGAGGGGCCCGCGGGGCGTTCCCGGGCGGATCCCTGGCGTCACGCGTGTTTATCGTCTTTGTGGAGACTGACAGCTGCGATCGCAGCTCCTCGGGTATCCGCTTTAGGTGCTTCTATCTCCTAATTCTGTGCTACGTCAGCTAAGCTGCCTTTGCCCCCCAGTCAGTGCATTTTTTTTTTAAGCAGACAGGCTCTTGCAAATTCTGCAGTAGAAATGCGTGGGCTGGTGTGTGGTTCGTATAATGGGGTATCTGCTGTGCTGCTCTCGTCCACCACTCCATTGGTGCTTTGGGAAGTGTTCTCCTGGCATCCCAGTTGACATAGAGGTGCTTATTTTCTGAAGTATGAGAACTATGTCGTCAGAGCTGTAGCACGAGCTTTTGTTACAAGCGCAGCTCTATGGGCTGGTTGTGGTCTCTGCTCAATTAAGACATTCCTTATAGTCTTCAGGTTAATGCTTATGCAGAATATAGAAGGCAGAGAAGTGCAATGCAGTTCCTCATAGATTGTAGTATATGTGGTTTTGAAGTATTCAAAGGCAATTGCGAAGTTGTCCTTAAAATGTTAATGCTTTTATTTTTTTGTCATAAAAGATGCGAGTTTTTCAAAGTTTAATTCCATGAGATTTTGCTACAAAGTGTCACTAGTTGTTAATGTAGCAGTTAAACTTAGGAACTTAAATTAGAATCTGTAGTTCTGCTAAAGCTTTACACTTTATGTGAGTTTCTTTCATCTATCTGTGAAACTTTTCTGACATTTCATTTCTTAGGAAATTAGGGCAATTTGGAAAAGTCATCAAAATTAATGAATGCCAACTTAAAGAACTGAATCATGCTATGGTACAGCAACATAAAAATACTGACTTGCTACTCGACAACTAACTGGTGTATAAACTGTTTGAGAGCAGTCAAAGTCATATTTTTACTTATAAATTTATGTGGCTGTTGAAATATAGTGGGTTTTCTCTTTCATTAGTAATGGTGAACAGCCATGGCATTTAGTTTAGCAATATTTGTTATAAAACTCGTAGTCTGGGACTTTTAAGAATTGCTGTTTGCATTCCCACAGTTCAGAAACTGAAAGTGCTTGTGGAGCCAGAATATTGTTGATAAATCCTCCACAGGTGTTTTAAATTCAAGTTCCTTGCTGGAGCTCAGCAGGTGAAGAGTAGGCTTATAGTAGAGCACATGTTAAGTGAGCGTTTGCATTTATCCACCTGTTAGGGTGAAAGTCTCTGTTGTACAGGAGTTAGATGAAAAAATAAGCTTGACGTCTGGCCAGAGGAGAGGAATGGGTCCAAGGGAGGGAATAGCTGTGGGAACTTGTGAGGCTGGGAGGTAACAAAGGGTCCAGAAGAGTTTTCCCACTTGTCTCATTTCAATATAGTAATATTTATTATAGTAGGGGTATGAAAGCTACAGCAAGAAATCATTCTCAGTATTTTATGTACATGGACATCTTGTTGTCCATGGGTAAGCCTTTATGCTTGCCATTCTTATTTTTCCTTCAAGATAATGGTGTTTCTCAGTATCTTTCATGTACCATATTTTTTTCTGATAACTAAATGGATGCTTACTGTGATTTCAGGATTTTTTGTTCGGGTTTTCTGTGTTTATTATGAAACATTATTGATTGTGTAATAAAATGAGCTAATGGAACTGTATTGAAATAAAATATATTTAGACATGAAAAAGTCCTGATCTGGTATTCATGCATGGGGAATATCACCCTTGTTGTTTTCAGTGTATTTGCATGCTTCAGATGTCAGGGAAAAATCAGTGCAACCATGGTGTGTATTTAAATAGGTTTGGCAGGAAACATGGTTAGAATATATAATTTTAGCTGAGCATCAGTGCTCTAAATAATAGAATGAAAAATAATTCCTAGTTAATTTTCAATGAAACCTGCTTTCTTAAACCAGGTGTCAGCATATGGCTTCTATTTTTATGATTTTTATCAGTTTGTAGAATGTAGTGGGAGCACTGATGATTGTTGTTCAATTCTGGGTGCAGATTACTGCAGCTATGCAAAATCAGAGGAAAGGTGCATTTCTAGTGGCTTGCAGAAAAAGGGAAATTCTCTGTCAAAGAAGTAGGGAAGTTGTTTGTAAATCAGTGTTACTTACCAAAACTGGGAGGGGGGGAAGCCCTCTGTCTACATTAGTGGCATTTGTTTGTGCTAGCTTGTCCTGGTAAATGGAGCAAAATGGCTTTTATTTGTCTTCACTATCTAAACAAACAAAAAAAGTCAAAAGTGGACACCTGCACTTCTTGAAAATTGAAAATCTTTGAAATGTCATTTGTGTGGGCTCAGACTTTGGTCCCTGAATTTCAAGATTTATATGCAGTTTGATGGAGTGGATTATTGGTTCTACCTTTTTGGTTTTCAGTAGGAGCTCTTGGTGCTATTTAGTGTAATTTTATTGTTTGGTGAGAACTGAGTAAACTAAATTTATTATTGTGCTATTAATGTTTTGGAGGTAGTGATCATGAGGAATTTTCTTACCCTTACTCTGCTAATTTCATTTCACCTGCATTTGCTTCATTTTAAATGTCATGGCTTAAATTTTACTGTGCTGGATGCTCTCCAAGTAAGAGCAGTGGTGTTGCCCTACAAATACTACAGCTCTCTTGCAGCTCAGGAGTGTGTAAATAAAGACCTGAATGTGAATTTTTGTGCTGATTTTTGCTTCTTACCTTCAAATGTAAGGCAGTACAGAATCTGTTGTGTCCCTGTTTTCTTGGCTCTCACTTGGAGCAGCAGACTATTTGAGCCCATCGCAGAGATAATTTGTTCTTGAGCTGCTCAGTTGTTATAAAGCTGTTGTCTAAGCCTCACTGAACCTACCATATATAACCTCTCACAAAGTCTTCCAACTAAGCAGTTTTTCCATATTTTAGTTGTTCATTTTAGCCTCATTTTTCTTCAGTTGGTCAGTATTAGCAATTCTTAAGCAAAATAGAGCAGGGCAAGATCTGAACTTTGAGCCATTTAGTTTGCAATATAAAAATTACCTATGAAAGTGATGTAATATATTAGTGGCAAAAGGCTATAACACCAGGTGGGTTTTGTGTGCCACTTATTGGGTTTAAGTAGTTTCTGAGTTGGTTTTAAAGAAATAAGTTAGTCGCTGTTATAAGTTGGAGAGTTTTTTGTTTCTTTTCCTCTAAATGATGTGTGTTACCGCGCACTTGGAGTACGCTGTGATTAAATTCACGAAGGAAAACGTACCATTACAAGCTTACAGACAAGGTGTATTTATTGAAATAGCAGCGAGCCGTGGTTCTCAGTAAAGCGTGTTGTTGTTGCAGCCGAGGCTGGGAGCGTGGAGGATGGAGGCGGAGGAGAGCCGGGCGCAGCCCCCGGGCGAGGCGGCGCAGCCCGGCCGTGCGGGCCCGCAGCTCACCGACAGCGCCCGCCTGCAGCGCTTCCTCTGCTTCGGCTCCGAGGGCGCCGCCTACCACGCCAAGGAGCAGAAGCTGGGCTTCGAGAACGCAGAAGCTTTGCTGAGGCTGATCGAAGAGGGCAGAGGCTGCGAAGTTGTTGAAGAAATAAAAGCATTTAGTCAAGAGGGCAGAGCAGCAAAACAGGAGCCGCTGCTGTTTGCCCTCGCAGTTTGCTCGCAGTGCTCCGATGCCAAAACAAAGCAAGCGGCGTTTAAAGCTGTCCCCGAGGTGTGTTGCATACCAACCCATCTCTTTACTTTCATCCAGTTTAAAAAAGATCTGAAGGAGGGCATGAAATGTGGCATGTGGGGCCGTGCTCTGAGGAAAGCTGTTGCAGATTGGTACAATGGAAAGAATGGCATGGCTCTTGCTTTAGCAGTTACAAAATATAAGCAAAGAAGTGGTTGGTCTCATAAAGATCTTCTGAGGTTGTCCCACCTAAAACCTGCCAGTGAAGGTAATAAATTTTTATTTACCTGAAAATATTGTGTTTTAAACATTTTATATTTACTGTGGAAGTAGTTTGGAAACCCAAGTGCCATTGTAGATATATTCTTAATGAGGATATCCTGTAAATTGTGTCTTTAAAATGTGGGTGATCATCTAAAAAACCAGACCTGTTTATCTTCAAGGTAAACTGGGTTTGTTCCTTCTTTTCTTCCATGTGCCAAGAGAAGACAAAATAACACCCTCATTTTGTTTCTATTTGCTTAAAATAACACTTTTTTGTTATGTGGGAAGATCTGTTGACTTCAAATCTTAAAATAATAGAATGGTTTGGATTGGGAGGGATCGTAAAGATGATCCAGTTTCCAACCCTCCTGCCATGAGCAGGGACACCTTCCTCTAGCCCAGGCTGCTCAGAGCTCCATCCAGCCTGGCCTTGAGCACTTCCAGGGATGGGGCAGCCACAGCGTCTCTGGGCAATGCAGCTCCTGACTTCTAAGGAGATGAATACAGTAATTAAAAGTACTGCTCTAAATTGTGTATGCTTGACCTTTTCAATGGGTGTTTGGCAGGTCTGAGAATGAAACCTGCTAATTCGTTTGCATGCTAGAATGATGAATTCCAGTATACAGATGGTAGTCCTGCTTGAGAAATGGTTTTCTTTTCCATCAGGAATTGCTATAGTCACTAAGTATATTACCAAGGGGTGGAAAGATGTCCAAGAAGCTTATAAAGAGAAAGCAGTTTCGGCTGAGACTGAAAAACTCTTGAAGTATCTGGAGGCTGTGGAGAAAGTAAAACGCACAAAAGATGAATTGGAAGTTATTCATTTGATAGAGGAATATGGTCTAGGTAGAGAGCATCTCCTGACAAACCATCTGAAATC